AATCCTGACATTCCTTCACTGTCCAAATGTGTTTAACTTTTTTTGGCAGCAATAAATATGACAGTTTACTTATTTTAATTTAAGACATGTTTTATTTTAATTAAGTTTAAAACTTTTTTTATTTAATGTAAATTTATATTTTGTTTTAATTTACTTTCAAATTCTTCAGTTGCTGAATAGGCTGCATAGTTTTCATAAATTGCATAGTTCAGAATAGCTATAATTGTACCAGATGGTTGCATTCAGTTAAGTTGGACTAGACTGTAATACAAACCGTTCAGTTTGTCAACAATAAAACTGACTGAAATGAGAGAAAGACTGAGTGTGAGACTTTGATATTAGATTAAATGAATATTGATAAAGTTTAACTATATGTACCGAATCTGAATATTGCAAAATATTTTTTTAAAATCGCAATAATATCGTATCGTGCATTAAATATTGTGATAATATCGTATTGTGGGATGCATGGTGACTTCCACCTCTAGTATGTTCCCAGCATAACTCTGAGCAACCGGTTCTACAGTCGTGTGTGTGTGTGTACATGTTTTGACATCTTTGTGAGGACAGAAAATTGGACAAAATGCCTGTGAAGCTCAAAATGTGGTTTTAGTGTCAGGGTTACAATTGGGTTATGGTTAGGTTTAGGCTGAGGGTTAAGATTAAGCATTCATTTAGATGGTTAGGGAAAGCATTATGTCAATGAGATGTACTCACGAACATATGAAAACGAGTTTGTGTGTGCGCGCGTGCGTGTTCATCACTGTGTGTTCATCACTGTGAAAACACCGTCTCGGTGTCTTCACAGTGATGTTATCTGAGGTCACGCCGTGGTTTGAGGACGTCAGGTTTGTTTCTTCTTCTCTGTCGGATTATGATCCAAGTGTTTTTGTCGCGTGTAGAAGACACACAGAATTCCAAAAGGTTGATTCTGTTCATCTGGACGTAGCGTCACCCATCCAGGTGACATCCAGTCTCAGCTGACTGCAGGGTTCGAAAACACACACAGACACTCAGGTGAGTGGGATCCCTGAGGACACCTGGCCACTTACAGCCGCCGTGTCCATGTACACGCGCGTGCACGTGGCAGACTGCACCTGCTGTGCCGCTGCGTGTTGCCTTCGCCAATCACAGTTCGTCACCAAACTCCCTTTGAAATCTGTGGAATTCTGGAAGCAAAGCGGGCGGCCACGACAGCGGATCTGAGGGGTATTCACGTCACACAGCGGGGGGGTTCACAAGGACCTGAACTCTGAGGGGAGGGCTGCACAGAGCCGGAGTAATCACGCAAACCTCCCGTTTCCGACCCGGTTGCTGGTTCCGATCTCGGACCTGCCCGTTTACCGTTAAAGCTCACCTTTCTTAAACTGAAGTTTTTTTGCAGGGAGTCTCGTACAACCGCCAGTCATGTGCTAGCGCGTTGCAGCAGAGGTCACTGGCAGAGTTCCGACGAATCAAACTCAGGTCAGCTCACCTGGAAAAGGTCCGGAAGTTCCTCCTGCTCTCTTCCTTCGTCGGCTCCGAAGCAACAAACTCAGAGGTTCTGGGGAAAAACCCAAAGAAGAACCACAGAAAGAAGAAGGAGGAGGAAAAAAAGTCGCTCAGCTCAAGTTCTCACTGTCTGCCTCTGCGCCACTACGCCGCCACTTCCGGCAGTGACGTCAAGACGTTTTTACGAAGCTTAGAGGAGGTTGAAGGGAAAAAACGAATCACCAATCAGAGGGCAACTCCTGATGAGGGGGCAGAGCCTCGGAAGCCACGTCGTAGACTTTTTGTAATGACGAGTCAGGTGACAAACAGCAGGGCAAAAAGTGATGCCATCAAGTCACGTCACTTGTCAGAGTCCAACAATAAAACCATCAAGAACAACAATAAAAAAATAAAATAATAAACAAGAACAGAAACAATAAAATTATGAAAAAAACGCCATAAACAACAAAAACAACAGAAAATCTTTTAAAACAAAAAAATATATAAAACCATCAAAAACAATAAAAACGACTGAAGCGCATCAGAGGACAAACAGGTGCTGTGACTGTTTGTGGCCGTCAGCAGGCAGATGTGAAGTTCTGCTCTCACAGCTGGAGCAGGAAACTGACCCTGCTGCAGGTATGTGCACCTGTTCACTGAGATGAGCTCCTGTCCCTGACAAAGGAGTACACTTGGAGTCACACTGTCTCGGGATGACGAATGAGGGCTCAACCCTGTGCAGGATGTCCTCACAGGCCGGAGCTCACTCACACAGATGGTTTCCATCAGGCTGAAGGACCTGTTCACTGGTGATGCTTCAGTTGAATCATGTTTGTTTACAGTCAGGGTTAAAAGGTCATATGCAGGTAAGAATGTCATCAATTCATTCACCACAGCTCTGCCACCTGGCTGTAGCTCAGGTGGCAGAGCAGGTCAGCCACTAATCAGAAGGTCGGTGGTTCGATCCCAGGCTGCCTCCTAGCTGCATGCCAAATATCCTTGGGCAAGATACTAACCCCATGTTTGCCTACTGGTGGTGGTCAGAGGGCCCGGTGGCGCCAGTGTCCGGCAGCCTCGCCTCTGTCAGTGCGCCCCAGGGCAGCTGTGGCTACAATGTAGCTTGTTATCACCAGTGTGTGAATGGGTGGATGACTGAATGTAGTGTGAAGCGCTTTGGGGTCCTTAGGGACTAGAAAAGCGCTATACAAATGCAGGCCATTTATTTTACAAAAAGCTTCAGAGAGAGAAAACAGGAGGGTGATGACGACTGATGGAGGCAGACACCAAATGCTGCTGGGGCTTACCATTATGCACTACTCCTTCAGGAATGCAGCAAAAATATGAACATAAACATGTTCACATGCACACACACGCACATGTGTCACAGTTATTTACTGTGTGTGCTTTTTTATGGTGTGTTATCACAGTGCAAAGATTTCTTATGGAGCCCAGGAAGAACTTGATTACAGTACACGTGTGTGTGTGTGTGAGAGACGTGTTATAAATGGGCAGAGTTTGACCCTGTACACTAAAGTTTAAACCATTTCAAATGAACGAGTTTATGATTAACTGACGGAAAGGAGTAACTGTTTCTTCTTTTTTATGTTGTTTAAATTACTCAAAATAAATACAACAATGAAATTGTTAAACATTTTTGAACAATAAAAATATAAGTACAGTGTACTAACCAATTGTGCCACTGGAGCTTCTGGACCAATAAAACAATAAAAAGAAAAAAGACAAAACAAAATTTGAGCACACACACATTATGTATTTATTCATATATATATATATACATATATATACACATTTATTTATAAATTTCCCACTCGCCCCTGCGGCAGTCTTTCTTTCAAGCTCGGGTCCTCTACCAGAGGCCTGGGAGCTTGAGGGTCCTGCGCAGTCTCTTAGCTGTTCCTAGGACTGCGCTCTTCTGGACAGAGATCTCCGATGTTGTTCCTGTGATCTGCTGGAGCCACTTGCCTAGCTTGGGAGTGACTGCACCTAGTGCTCCGATTACCACGGGGTAATTCTCAAGCTCTTCTCTGAGCCATTGGTACTTCCCTCTACATCTATCACTAGAGCTGTCTTCTTCTGCTTGTCTACCACCACTATGTCTGGTCGGTTAGCCAGCACCATTTTGTCCGTCTGTATCTGGAAGTCCCACAGGATCTTAGCTTGGATTGTCTCAGGGACATCTTTACACAGCCTGCACCTGGGGTCTTGCCTAGTGTAATAGACCCCAGCCTCTATGGATCTTGTACTCAGAGCTTGTTCCTGTGCTGCCATTATTAGTGCCTCTGTGCTGTCTTTCAGTCCAGCTTTGTTGTCTCATCCTGGACTGTGGTGTT